TTGGGAATCACAGAGATCTTTTATAGAGTAGAATTTGCCTCCATCCATGTTACTTACAAGGAATAGCACCCCATAAGGATTCCCCACCCCCGCAAATATATATTATAAAATTAATTTAATAATTTTTATTTTATTATTTTAAATTTTTTGGAAAAAGGTTTGGTTAAAGTCCAAAAGAAGCGTTTGATTTAGTTTAAAGTAATTGAACTTTAGACTTGGGTTAAAATTAAAAATGAGTAATAGGAATAATTTACCATTATGGGTTAAATACTTAATATGGACTAAATGCAATAATTTGTTTTTTATTTTTAATATTTTAAAGGAACATAAATTTAGTGGAGCGAGAAAAACTCCTCTCAAAATTTTTTAAGAAAAAAATGCTCCATATCCCTTCTCTGCTTTATTTGTGAGAATTGAAAAAAATTGTCACCCTATATTCAAATTCAATATAAATTTTGAATCTTATGATCACATAGACTAAAAATAAGTTTATAATTATTCAGATATTTTATTACATAGTACCATCAAATAAAATTGAACAGTAGATTTATAATTTTATCTATTTAATAGTTTTATCTCATTAATTGATGTAATAAATGAAAATCTTAAAATTTTAATATGAGCTGGACTTAAGCCCGATTATTAGGTTTTAAACTCAAACTGGAGCACATAAACAACTTGACTCAACTTAACTAAATTGTACAATATTACTAAAAATTTTAATACCTAAATTTGGAATTTTATTTTTCTTTTCATCAAATATAATCTTGTTCTTCCATGTATTATATGATGATCGGAATGGAAATATTAGTGAACGATGTTTAAAGTTGTCATGTGACGGTTTACGACATATCTTAGTCGCAGAAAATGATTGAGATCAACACACCCACATGATCTCTTTAAGTTGAAAGTTGAGATTTTTCTTTCAACATGCGTGTGTACAGTGCAAACCGAAGCAAGACTTCATTCTGTTTCAATCATGGATAATGGTACATATACCTTATAAAATTATATATTCTATTACGCATTGATAATTTTCATCAGTATGTAATAGAAACCATCAATTTTAATGGCATAAATAATGAAAACCGTCAATTTTAACGGTACAAGTAATGGAAACCATAAGTGTATAACGGAGTATGTAACGGAATAGGGTATATGTATCATTTCCCTTTAATCATACATTACTTAAATATTGTTACTCTAAGTTGTTTTTTCTGGAAATGATTCAGTTCCTATGATGTTGATAATCTCATTATATAATTATAATTTTTTCTTTTTACTTTATGAAATAAGAGTAAAAACATAAATTAATATGTATTCACTTATTTAATATTATATTATGAATTTACATTATGAATTGAAAAAAAAAAAATACAAATGAACGTAAGTCACATGGTTTGTCCAAGAAAAATTGTACAAAATCATTGTGGGGAACTCCATTTCAAACCCTAATGGGGCATTTCGTCTTAATTTATCTCAAACCATAAGAATCAGTTTATCTAAAACACCAACAGGTCAATTCATCTAGGTTGAGGAGAGACTTACAAGCTCAATCTCTTGTTACATTTGAGTTAAATCTCTCCCCCTTTTTCCTTTTTTCTTTTTTCTTTTTTTTTTTTTTTAATTTTGTTTGGATGTTTAGAATGACTCTAATTTCGCTTGCAAACATCTCAAAATTAATTCTTTTAAATAATTTAAAAGTAGCATCTCCTGAAATCTCTGAGAAGAGGCTTACATGAGAACTCTATACGTGGATTGTTACAAGAGGCTTACATCTCATTAATATTTGAAATTTCTAGACAAATTTAGGAAACAAATAAACTTTTTGGATTAAAATGATAATGAGTTGATAGTTAATGAACTAAACATTAAATTCAGCCCTTCATTACAGTTAAAAATTAATGTTCTT